GGATTCATGGCAAACCCGCCAATGGGAAACCCAAACGGTATCATCGGGCAGCTGCCACCAGCACTACCGAAGCCTCTCCAGGAACGAGCCCATTCAACGAAGAATAGATTCATGCCCTCCAGAAGATGCTCGGTCAATTGTCGCCAGTCCAGTCAGCCTCGATGCCTCCACCTTGTTACCTATCAAGGTATTTCCCCATTCGTTTTCGTCTTGGATTCAACTTCTTCTCGCCCCTTGATTGTTGACTCAAGTGCCTCCGATCATATGACCGGAGATGTCTCCTTATTAATGGATTACAGGCCGTGTAATCCGACCCTCACTGTACGGATTGCTGATGGATCAGCCTCCAAAGTTGCTGGTCTTGGTTCTGCCCTCATCTCTCCAAATTTATTCCTCACTCCTGTGCTTCATGTTCCTATTTTGGATTACAATCTGATCTCTATTAGTAAGCTCACTCATGATTGTCATTGTGTTGCTAAATTTTTTCCATATGTTTGTGAATGTCAGGATTTGAAGTCAGGGAGGATGATTGGCAGTGTCGAGTTGCGCAGTGGTCTCTATCTCCTCAACAAACCCTCCGTCAGTCTAGTCTCACCCACCGGTTGTATTCCAGTATCAAGTATGTCTTGCTTAAATCCGCTTAGTACATCTGTATTCCATTCCAGCGTTAATAATGATAGTGAAGTCATGTTACTTCATTATCGTTTAGGTCATCTCAACTTTATGTACTTGGGGAAACTATTTCCTCATTTATTTATTAATAAAAGTCCTACCTATTTTAATTGCGAATTTTGTCAACTTGCCAAGCACACCCGTACTTCATTTCCTCGATTATCATACAAACCCGCTCGTCCATTTTCTCTGATCCATAGTGACGTCTGGGGTCCTCGTGAAAAAAATATTTCTGCAGTCCTCGTGAAAAAAAAATATTTCTGGGGCCCAATGGTTCGTGTTCTTTATTGATGATCACACACGGGTGACATGGATCTATCTTATGCGTGGCAAATCCGAGGCAGGACAATATTTTGTGAATTATATCCAATGATATTCACTCAATTTGACACAAAAATTCAGGCTCTCAAAACAGATTATTCACGGGATTTTTTCAACCCCTCCCTAGGAACTTTTCTTACTCAACATGGCATCCTT